CGCGCGGCATCTGAACTTAGCCTTAGTCATTGTAAGCATGCTTTTCGTGCTTATAGACTTGGTCAATTCTGGAAAATATTTATTATTTTGCATGTGCATAATTGCATAAGCAAATTACTACATTTCCGCTAATAGAATTCATTTCAATCATAGTTGATAGCAATGGAAACAAAAAATGTTCCGTATAATGAGCAAAATCACTCAAACATAATATTCTCGTACCATATGTAACGTAGGAAATACACATCAAAATGCTCATTGTTGGAGAATTCCTGGTAACAAAGATAAAAACAAACTGCTGCTGAAATCGAGAAATTCAACTCTTTAATTAATCCAATGCTTCCTTGATGTCTTATAACGCGCCGTTGGTCACGCTTTCTTGGTTCTTTTGATTCAATTCGTATAGTTATATCCTTGTATGTGTATTATTTCTTGTTGTGTATATTTGAGATTACACATTACGTTGTAGAATTATTGCAGTTAATATGATGAAAAATATAGCATTAGGATCAGGTATTATTAAATTGTTGGATCATTGGGTCAGATTAGATCAGATTACGTTGCAGCCAATTAGCAGCATCAAATTAATACTCTGCTGTGTATCCCGTTCAAATTGTGTATACATACTTCAAATAGTTTCAGAGTCTTGATACTTTGCATACAGTGATGTGCTTACAATATCTATTCACTTGCTTGATAATATAGAAGAGATTTAAATAAGTCAATACTCCAGCCGAAAAATCCAAGCTGAAAGGCATGTTTGTGTCAAAAGCAATGCATAATACAATGAAGTTATTGGAAAACTTATCTCTCGTCTTGAAGTTGCTTACTTCGTTATTCCAATATTCTGTTCTACATACTGTTTCTTCGTATCCTTTTTTACAATTTTTGTTTGCCTTCTGAAAACCCATACAGCGAAACCCATGTCACTGAATGATACTAGTTTCGTGTGAAGCAAGTTGCAACAAAAGATGATATTAGATTATTTTTGAATTTCACAGAAACTATACTACAATGAGAGAAGTCAAAGAAGTTTAGCCATAATGACCTTATGATCAATATCGTCTGATCAGCCTAGTCGCTGATGCGGACATATACTAAGTGACATAAAAGAAAGAACACGAACCAAAAATAAATGTATTACAACAATTTTTTGGATATAATAATAATAAATTACTTTATTGAATACAATAAATAATCTTTTTTCAAAGGTAATTTAAAAAAAATACAGCATGAGAATGATCGTTGAAACAATGCACTACTATGAAGCGACATAGTTAATTTTTTTAAATATCTTATATTTATATCATAAACAGAGTGGTGGAAAATTGAGCGTTCTTTTATAGAATCAGGTGAACCTGGAGTGTTTATAATTTTTAATAAAAACCTAGAAAAATGGAGAGTGCGACGCTCATTCATTTTAAGCCATTTAATTTCTTTATACAAATGAGATATATGATCAAACCTACGCAGACCATAGATAAACCTGAGGCACACATTTTGCACCTTCTGAATCTGACCTCTACTTTCCTGATCTAAGCAAAACCCATAGACAAAATCGCAATAATTGAAATTGGAAAGAATTAGGGATTCACACATTTTTTTTTAAGTGATCTGTTTAGTATGCGTCTGTTAATATGCAAAACTTTTAGAGAACAAAATCATTTTTGCACAGATTTATTAGGTGATATTTGAATCTAAGCTGAGAATCTAAAACTACACCGAGATTTTTTTGTACTTTCAACAAAATTCAATTTTGAATTATTAGCCATTATATTGAGATTAGCTTTCAAAATCTCAGTCTTAGATTTGTTATAAAAAATCATTACATGCAATTTTTCCGGATGAAGTTTTAAGTTGTGACCTAATGAGAGATTGTTCAAGGTGTTAATGTCCTCATTTATACAATTTTCGTAATATTTGTAATCCTCAATATCAAAAAACAATAAACCTGGGTGTCATCCGCGAGGGCCTGAACTTTACAAAACTTTAAAGACGTAAGGATATCATATGTATAAATTAAAAATATTGATCCCTGAGGAACTCCCGATAGGATCTCCGCTTTGTCTGAAAATGTGTCATTTGATAGAATCGATTGATACCTTCCTGTCAAATATGATTTTAAAAGCAAACATGGTTCCTTATTAAAGCCATAGTACTGAAGTCTAGCTACCAGCAATTCATGATTAATGGTACCAAAAGCTTTTGAAAAGTCTAGAAGTACCAAAGCTGAACTCATCTTTTTATCATTTGCTATTAATATGTCATCGAGTACGTTTTGTTAGAGCCAGTGATGTACCAAAATTTTTACGAAAACCACACTGAGTACCAGGAGTAATATTGTTACTCATACAGAAGTCATAAATTTGTTCGTACAGCACTCTTTCAAATATCTTCGACAAAGCAGGAAGTATACTAATCGCACGAAGTTCGTTAAAACTTGATGGATTAGTTATTTTTGGTAATGGTTTTCCTACTTGTCGGGAAAGTAGCTTGTTTCAATGGAACAGTTTATAATAATTGTTATATACTTATCTATGTACAGACAACAACATTTTAACAGTAAGGGCAAAATATCATCTATACCGGTTGCATTACTTTTTATGTTGTTTAAAATTTTGTCTATATTTGTTATTTCTGCTAATTTAAAGTTAAAGGTTAAGTTATTTTTAAAGGCATTGTCTTTATAAAATTTATTTTTTTCCGAACAGTTAGATTTATTTTGTAGAAAAGCAGCAAAAAGGCTATTAATATCATTAGGTCCTGATAAAGACTGGGGAATTTCATTATTTTTTGTAGAACAGATATTAAAACTTTTTAAAACTGACCACAGTTTAATATTGTTAGTTAACCAAGGCGCTTTTGGTTTTGTTATTAGTGATTATTTTATTGGTGCATGCTTACTAAACAATGTAAGAACTAGATTATTTAAAATAGTTATTTTATTATCAATATTATTCTCATATAATTTATGATCTGAAATATTATCCGCCGATAAAACACCAGACCTAGCCACTATCGACAAGTAGTGACAAATATCGCATCAAGCATAGTACTAACCGTTCCAGAAATGCGTGTAGGTTCACAAATGATCTACGTAAAATGATAATTTTCAAATAGGGGTACCAGTAGATTTTGTAGGTTAAATGAGTTGCAATCAAAATCTCCCAAACAAATAATTTCATCAACTAAAGGGTAAAGACAGGAAAATATATTATCAGAATCAGGGATTAGAACATTAAAATTAAGCTTTGGTGGTCTGTAAAAAAACACAAAAACTGTAATTTTTGTTATTAATTTTTAGTTTAAATATACAGTACTCAAGTTGTACATTATTTTCGAAATCCAAGTTTAACTTTTGTACTGCAAATTCTGTCTTTACGTAAGCCGCTACTCCACCACCCCTACCCAGTTGGCCCTTTCTAATAAATTGATAATTAGGGATATTAAATACATAAGAATCGTCAACAGTTTTTAACCAAGTCTCAGTTAACATTAAAGTATCAAAATCTTTCTCCTCAATGATTTGCCCAAGTTCATTAAAATTAGTGACATTCAAGTGACCAACTTTAAAAGCATTGTTTTTTGATATAATCATAGTAATCAATATTTGAAAAAAGAAAAACAGTATAAAGTAGTATTAGGAAAAAAAATAAACAAATATATATATATATATATATATATATATAATCCAATTGAAGTTTAAATACAGATGCCACACATATAAGGCATGTCTCTTGGGTAATTGATCAAAATTTCAGATAAATTCGACCGTTGAAAAAAATGTAAAACAATATAATTTCTGGCGCCTCCACAATGTTTTATGCACTCAGAGACGCGTCTGAGCTACTCCTAATCAGATGATCAAGTCTGTGGAGGATGGGATGAACTATGGGCGCTAGATCAGGAGATCTGAGGCCCAAGGCAACAAATCGACTTAATTTCCTTCAAAATGGACCAACGTAATTCTGACTATATTTGGTCGCGTATTATTTTGTTGGAAAAGTGGTGGTGAACGTACGTATATATTGCAAACTATGCGGTTCTCTCACCTCCTGGATGTAATGCACGGTCATGTTGCCTCCGATGAACACCATACCAAAGGTGAACTGCTTGTATGGCAATTATGCATCCCCATTCAGAATATGGACTCAACACTAAAGACAATGGTAGTCGGTCAGTTAGGGGTCTAGGAGGTCGGACAAACTGAGGACGCAATGGAGTAAGTCTGAAACGGTTGATCTGGCGATAAATAATTTATATTGTTATGGGCTTCCGATGCTGTCCAAACCACTGGTCCGCAATTAACCTTCGAGAAGCGGCTCCGTAGAGCCAAAAGCCTAGGGCGGCGATCTTGATATGGGGCCGTTCTTTTGACATGCCCTGTACCTTCGTGTACGACCTTTCTGCTTCCATGCCCAATAACAAACAACCATAGTATTTAGACTGCAGTGCACCCTGGTAGGCATAACAAACATATTGAAGCAGCTCTTCATAATGTCTTTTACGACAATCAAATAGTAGCTACAAAATACTATCGCCTACCTACTTTTTTGTAAGAATAGGCGATACCAAAAAAAACTCTTGTATGGTTTAAAGCTAATCATTGTTTGTCGTAACCTAAACAAACATATACCCATAAAATATTTGAAACAAATTCCTTATTACTGGGTGTTCTTTTTTTCTATGTCACTTAGTGAAGTTGCTGCTTGCAAATTGGACAAAAGAGAAACTCAATCTGTTCTACATGCTTCCCTGGATACTGAATTTGTACAAAAATCGAATTTGTAAGTTCTGTTGAAACGATTTTGTTAAAAAAAAGCTTTTGAGCTTTCTTGATCGTTTTCGTTCACTTTGGTACAGGATGACAATACACGAACTATTTACTATAGTCTATAGTATAGACAGAGCTTCATCAGATTCAGAAGCTATGGAGACATGCTAATGAAAAATCAAACAGTTTTACTAAAATTATAATTTTTAACTCAGACATTAGTTACCTTTTCTAGTCCACGATTGACATGATAATGCTAGTATCAATCCGAAGATTAGCTGCCATCTCACGATCATCTTATCATATCTGCAAAGAAAGGATAAACATAAGTTATCTATATGAAAATTCCTGAGAGCAAATTGCACAAACGTGAAACAAAATAATGAAATATTTTCTAGGTGACGCACAAGAAAGACATCCAAAATTTGAGCTCTTTAACAGCTCAGTAGCTCCTTCTTGTGTTGCACCCAAAATAGTAGGAATTTTGGTCATAGTACTCTGGATTACGATGATTAAGTCGAAATAAGACAGCTTAAAATGAGCAAAATTAAAATGAAAAGCAATATTAGATTTATAGTAAATAGAAATGTATCACAATGCATAGCAACCTGTAAAGATGGTAATCTTTTTGTTAATAGTTGTATATTGAAAATTAATATTTTATCACTTCTTGTATTCAACCGATAATCTAACAAGAATATTAAATCAACAAAATGATGATAACAATGTCATCAATTTAAAAAACACTGATGTGTTTAAAAATAGAGTGGTGACATGAACAAAATAGGAAAACGATACATCACCAGCTTATAAATATAGCTTATCCCAAAAAACTCGTATTGCTTCAGGCTATCGCAAACAGTGTATGATGAATGTGAGAGTCGACCAGAGGATTGATTGGTCAAAGAGAAAGTACTGCTGTAGAATTGAATCCGGAAGCTCGGAAATGCTTATTCGACAATGACAAGACGATCAAGCTTATCATAACATTAACGACCATTTGAAGCTTTATGGAGATACTAGGTAAGGATGCGTCACATACTTCTGCAACCTCTATGCCATGAGCTCATTAAACTTTTTCTCATAAGAAGTGACATAAATTCCCCTCAAAGGGGCCGCGTTGTATCTCATATCGGTCCATCCTGTCAAAATACTATAATAAACTTTATCACAATAAACTACACCGACATTGGAGCAACTGGCAGAGAACACTTAAGAAGAAATGACAACCATCACATAGACGGCACACCAAGCTTTGGTAAGTTTTACCAACTGTTTGTACAAAGTTGAGCAAGTTCGCAAGCACAAAAGGTCGCGGCTCGCACTGTAACCAAATATAATTCGTCAATTTAGAACAATCAAAATTGGAGTATTTTGACAGAATTCTCACAAAAATCAAATATTTTTAGACCATATCAAAATTTTAACAATGGCTAGACGTTCCCTGACCTAAATGATTCTTTTCAATCCCTTTGCCCTATTCCCTCCTTTTATTATTTCCTTCCCTCCTTCATCAAAATTGTCTGGTTTCCGAGTTTCCAGACCTGACAGACATACAAACTGACACTATGTCACAAAAGTTAAGGTCCTACGGACTGCTCTGTCAACCAACGATAACTTGAACTGAGCAACTGTTCATTTTTACGAGTACCACAAACGAGAAGACGCTCAGAAACATACATTTTTTTATCTTACCAGCCTCGTGGATGTATAAAAAAACACCATCAAACTGTTACTGGATGCAACCTAGCCATTGACCTTTTATATCTGGAGCACTCCAAACCAAAACATTCAGTCTTCACAAATTGTTTTATTTAAAATACATAATTGAATGACTCGTTGGTAACCGTATTACGTTTCTAGTTCTATTCAATGATGCATGAAGTTCTGTCCTATTTGATTAAACCGAGAAACGGTTTCGTGCAGAGCAAGTTGTTGGAACACCAGATGCGATACATACGCAATTGTTTGTATAATGGTGACCGATATTAGAATATCGGTATATTAAAGATGTATACAAATACTGGGGCATACCTTTGATCGATTCGACATGCTTGTTAAAGTTTCTATAATTTCAATAATTATGGAATCAAGGAACGTGCAAAGCATGATTAGGCACGAGTAAGTATCTTAAGGAAAGCCAGTATCTCATACCGCTATTTCAGCTGCAAGGGAGTAGTTTCTTGCATTTAGCCTCATTACCTACATTACCAGCATATTCTACATACTGGTCCCACCTGTGTAAAGATCCTGTACCCTATTGCCGAAATATTTTCTTAAGCTGCCACTTCGAAGGGTGGTCAGTGAACTAGCCATTTTCTATCGTTGTTTCCCATATTTTGGGCTAGACTGATTCACCAATCTCCTGCTTCTTATACTAACTCAGTCAAGCTTATGATGTTCAGGCATCGCCCTCGCATCAGTTTCACTATAAACAAACGTTGGTACCATGTCTTTTTAGTCCAAGATTTTGTATGAGCTTAAATCAAGTATTAATGTAAACACACGAAAAGATATATAGCATTCCGGAAAAAACAATATCCTATTTATTTATTTATAGCTTTTATTGCCCAACAGATAATATTCCATTTATAGGCCAAAATATTAAATTAGAAATATTACAAAAGCCTAACTTATAAAACTATCTTAGGCGCTCTCGCAAAACACATTTCAGCTCCGAAATAGAACATAAGAATATGTCACAAAACTTACAAACACTATTATAATTCAAACACATAACCCTTTCAGGAGATTTCAAAATCAAACTTGTGTTAGCACGACTGCAAAAGAAAGTAACATTACATCTTGAAACGGATCTTGGTGTTAAGCTGTGATAACAATTCCGAAGAAACTATAGTTCCATGCAAAAGTTTAAACAAAAAAATAACAGAACTGTGCTTCCTCCTCACATTCAAAGACGTCATTTTAAATCTGTCTAACAGAATTTAATAGTCCGACCCGCGTTGAGGGTCGACTCTATCGCACTTAAAAGCTAGATTTTAAAAACATTTTTTTGAATATAATCTATCATATCTTTGAGTTATTTGGGGTATGCTTAAATTCTTTCGTCTATATGAATACTACAACGGAAGCCCTCGTAATCTTAGATTGATGTGGAACAAGTGTAAATATTATAGTAGCTTTTAATATCGGAATATAGAAGATGTGAGTATAAAAATAATGGAAGTATTTTTAGCGTTGGGCTTATTTTTAGCACGAAAGTACACATGGCGGAGTAAAGAGGTCAAGGGTGGCACTTCTGAATATGGTTTATTCCAGGAGTATTTGCTGTATCTCTCCTTGTGTAAAACACACACACTTTTCTTTTAAAACAGCATACATTCATTCTCAGAACTTGTATTTTATTTGCATCAATCAAAGTTACCGTAACTGTGAAGACAATTAGTACAGGTTTACCCAAAAACCCACCGTTGTATTCCTACATCTATAGGAAGAACCACGAAGGTAGGTTTATCGATAAATATGCTGATATCCTTTTATTTTTAAGCTTTTATCGGATATCTCACCTTTATCATACACTTGAGGAATTTTCGGAGAACCAATAAAAAAAAACTTTAGTAGCGTTGGACCCAGACACAGATATGTCAACAAAACATTATTTGCTTGAAACAAAGCAATATAGACTTGCAGATATTTTAAAACTTCACATTTAAATGCACTATCGTTATTTATCATCTCCATCAAAATCAACAGCACCAGCTACTGTGCAGCCCAATTCGGAGTACAAAAAACTGAATTCCGACTCCATCATTTCATTGGACCCCACATATCCGATTACAGAGCGAACATAACTGTACATAAAAGCGTAATTACCGCTTCATGCCTCGACAGACAGGACAATGATACATCACCATGGATGCAAACTAGAATAGATGGATATTCTTTTGTTTCAGCTGATGGTAGTGCCTTTGATAGTGGAAGCAGTTGCTTGTAAAAATATCTCTCCATTCATGATCTAACATTCCAAAAAAAAGGAGCGAACGAAATATCACATAAAAGGCAGAAAGCAAAACAATATAAATCACCACATAATTGTCAATTCTACTTGAAAAGGACCCAGTGTAAGCCAAAACGTTTTACAATCAACTAAAATATAAACATACAGGGTGGGCTCGGTCCATTGTAGCCAACAGTATACTTCTGACGTAGAAAACGTTTCCCATGTAGTTACTTTTTCCGTTTCTTGGATATTTATTCAGAGTGGTTTATAAGGCAAAGTGAAGTATTTCTAAAAATTTTCAATTGATGCACCCTGTATTATTTCACATTGTGTATTCCCCGTTTACAAGCCTATTTCTGATATAAGGTTTGTATGAGCTACAAAAAACATAGCGACATCTAGACCTTCAGCCGTTATTGCAAAGGCTGAGTAGAATTAAAATTCTGGTGAAAATTATCTAAGACCAACTGAATGACTGGTCTACAAAAATATTAAAAGTAACCCAAAAATCGGTTGTACATGCCCCCATGAACCTTTTCTCAAAAAAAGCTTGTGGAAGGGTGATCAAAATATGTGAAAATATACAGGACGTTCCACTTGAAAATCTTGAGAAGCCAGCCATTTTGCGTTCTTGGTCACGCTGTCAAAAAAACTGAAAAGATAAGAGGACACGGAAATAAGTTGACATCATAATTTTAATAATAATAATGATAATAACAATAAATGGGCTTTATTTCGTACCTAAGTAAAAGTACAAAAAGGCGAAGTTTCGCTAAAATTAGAGTTTTCCAACTAAACCTTTGAAAGAACAAAAAAATATATAATAAAACATTCCACCAATAAAAATGTATCCACAATTCTCAATTACCATATAATTAACAACACAAAAAAGGACAATTACAAGAATAGTCCATATTTCGAGCATTTTGTATTCATCATCAGACCTCGACTTGTCGTTTTAGTTTAAGCCTCTTCATAAATTAAATAATGTATAGTTTTGGAATGTAAGAGGCAGAACCTTATATGTATAATTTAATAGCGTTGTAGCTGAACGATCTTTTGTAGACAGCCTTAGAATGTAAGGGTATCACTAACATATTTCTATTCCTTGCATTCAGTTGATTTATGTCACTACACAGTTAACAAACTTATTATGCAAATATTGTGGTTGTTTGATAGCTAAGACCTTATGTGTGAGTGTCAATAAGTGAAGTTTTTGCATGCCTGAAATCTGCAGAATACCAAGTTCCTTAAATTTACAAGAAATATGATCAAACTTTCGTATTCCGCAAGAAAATCGGACGCACGAATTCTGAATACGCTGTAATTTGCTTTGTTCACTATCTGATAGAGCTGGACCATATATACTGTCACAATAACTGATCTTTGTATATAATTAATGCTTCACACAGTTTCAGCTTTACTGAAGTAGATATTATTTGCCTATGTGGACAAAACTGCTTCAAAATGTAGTATGATGCACTACATAACGAATTTACGTGTTTTTTGTTTTTTAGTTCTGTGTCCAGGTTTTTACACTCATTCATTATAGAGAGCTGACAATCATAGATTTCAAGGTTAAGTTCCGTTTCGATCAATGTTCTTTTGTTTTTTGAGCCGAAAACCATAACTGAAGATTTAGATGGATTAATTTTTAGGTTATGCGAGCACGAAACATCTATTAGCCTTGTTAAGTGTTCGTTGAGCAATGCTTCCGCTATTTTAAAATCTTTGTGTTGAAAACTAAAATAAATTTTAGTATCATCGGCATAGTGATGGATTGGGCAATTATGGACATATTGATGAAAATCCGATGTATAGAGAGAAAAGTAAAGGTCCCAATATGAAACCTTGAGAAACACCAAACTTTATAGCAGTTGACTGTGACATTTTCAAAGCTGTTAGGACCTTTTCATTTCTATTTGACAAATAGCAGCGTATCAAATTGACTGCAGCGTCAGTAAAATCATAGTAAGACAGCTTAAGTAGCAGAACCTCAGGGTCTGTCATGTCAAAACCTTTTGTGTAATCCAGCAGAAGTGATATTTCCTTGAACAAAGCCTCTTATAACATCATCAGTGAAATTGGCTAGAGCAGTTGTTGAACTATGCTTTTCCCTGAATCCAGACTGCATTGATGGAACTATTTCATTACCGAAAATATACTGAGACATTTGTATCTTCATTTCCGTTCCAAAAGCTTCGAGAATGCGGGAAGCAAGCTGACTGGTCTAAGTTGCGATACAGACGTGGGAATCGCTACTTTAGGAATAGGTATGACGATAGCCTGCCTCCAAGCATCAGGGAAACAGGATGGTTGCTATTGCGTGATTGATGATAAATGTAATATGGTCGAAAAGCAAAGTGAAAATGTATTTTATCATAATGAGTGAGATTCCATCAGCCCCTACAGCATTAGTTTTAATAAATGAGAAACTCTTCGCAACAGATTCTTTGGCAACCTTTTGGAAACAAAATGACTTGGGAAACTTATTGTTTTGATATTTGTTCAGTAGTTCTAATTGCTTTTGTGTCTTGGTCATGATCGGAATATTTGAGAAATGTGAATTTATTTCATCTGCGTCATTGAAGCTATCTGGAAGAGTATTTATAGAGGACTTAATTATGTTAAGTTTCCTCCGAAGAGCAGCAGCAGCATAATTACGGAGTTCTTTTTAATATCTCCAGTGGGCAGTTGACTTACTTCTTTTAAACCTTAGATAAGCTTTATATATGGCTTTATTAATCATTTTAATATTGTATGTTAGCCAAGGAGCTGGTGGCTTAGTAACTCTAAGTGTTCTCATAGGTGCACAATTATTAAATAAATTTAGTAAGCTGTTATTTAAAAAACTTACCATGTCATTAAAGCTGTTTAATTGGAAAATATCATCCCAATAAGTCGAATGAAATAAATAATAAAAGGTACGTTCATTGCAGTTACGAAAGTCCCTAAACGTGTAAAACTTTTGCGACCGGTTGCTTAACGTTTTATGGAGGTGACAAACAACAGCTGAATGATCAGATAACTCATGAACTGGTACAACGTTGCAGTTTCTTACATTTTCTCCATCTGAGCATTTTTTTATGAAAAATATAATAATCTAGCTATAACAGTTGCGGAAGTGCCAGTGCGTGTTTTTTCGACAGTTTGTCCAATATCTCAAAAATTTTAAGACAAAATTGAATAAATCGTTTTATTAAATTGCCTATCCAAATCTTCAATAGGATATGACTCTTTCCGTTAAAAAAAAATTGATATCTAGGTCACCCTGTACTTATGAATCACCCTGTAGACAGAAAAGGCTATCGACCGAGCTCACACTTATATATGTATGTCTTGATTCGATCAGATAATGGAGTACTCTATAAATATTGTGTTCCTGTCACATACATTACAGATTTATATGTCGACAATATTTGCGTTTCACCCTCTTTACGACATCAAATGAGAGAATTATAACGTCTATTCAAAAAAAATTTCTACATTTTAAAACGATACTGGTGGAAAATCTTCCAAAATTATCGCATTGCCAATCTTATCGAAATAAGGAAGCAACTAATCATGGAATCATAATAGTCTACTTTATTTGCCAGCGCATGATGAGATACTATACTGAGTGAGAAAGAAAGGTAAACACCTGGACGTTTATCCGATTTTAATAATTTTTGGCTTATATGCTCAGTGTCAGTTACTAGTAAAATGATTGAATTTTCAGTATGTATGTAAAATATCTGAGAAACGTATTTCAAAGGCTTCTTTATTATAAGGGTGATTCTCCGCAAATACTATTTTTTTGCGTTTCTGCTGATCTGAACGATCACTGCTGATATGGCAATGTAACAGTAAGAACATATTGTACCATAATCACTGTTCCTTTAAACTTGAATAATTCGTTTTTATATCGGTTTCATGTCTGAGAGGTCATGTACTCTGGCTGTTACCAACCCTATTTTCTATGTTCAACACTTTCAAGCAAAATATGTTCTCTAAATAACGTTGAGAATATGTTACCTTGCAAAAAACAGACCACTAGCTACATAAAAACTGAGCCCATGAAACAAAAAGGAAAAAATCCGTTTCGCAATCAATGCATTTTCTTTGTTACCATACTTCGTTTTGTTCAGCTGCACATTGATAGATGGGCAGTAAATAGCTTTTTTCTATGAGAATCTATGCGGCAGACATCTTTGTTGAACCTGTATAACGTTCTTCGGCGAACATTTAATCTATAGTATTTTGTAGCTTTTGATACAATATTTGTGAGAAAATCAAGTGTCACAAACGACTAATCAGTCCACCGGTTAGTGACTTTTCAAATAAATATACATTTTTCACATTTGTTCTTATTGCTTACAGATATGTTTCTTAAATTGTTAGGTAAATATGTTGAAAGTGAGGTTATGTTATGTATCTATGATACAGATTTTTACAAGTTTAGTGAAATGGTCAGTCCTCTGGCGTCATTCCTCTGGCTCATAGGAGCCCAGAGGAATGACGATGGGAACAGAGGAATGATCATTGAATTGTCCCAGTGATATTAATTATAGGTATAAGTTTCACAGTGATTAAAATTTATAGGTACAGAAAATGGCGAGGTCTAAACAGATAACTCTACAACTCTACTAAAGAAGAAAGGCTTAGAAAAAAACGGGAAGCAGAGAGAAGGGAGGTATCACCACTTAAAACAAGATCCTATTGGTAGAGAACAGCTCAAGCAGCAAAAAGAAAAACACAGTACTTGAAAAAAAAGGATAAAAAAGTAATAAAGGCCATCGAGGATCTTAGTGAAAGGGACAAAAGAAGGAAACGGGAACAATGGAGGGAATATTCAGAGAAGTACAGAAACAGGAAGAGGCAGATAAGGATGGAAAATGAAAGGCTCATATGTATAATGCATGAAGACACCATAACCGTTATCAGAAGAAGAGTCAGAACCGGGAGGTCTGCCTACTACACCTGAAAATCACCAAAGGCTTGCGGGAAGAAAAAGGTACGCAAGAAATAGGGAAAAGTGAAGCCGTGAATATAAATACAAACACGAATTAATCAGGACGTAACAGCTTAAGGAGCAGAAATATAAGCAAAGGTATCATAGACTGAAAAATATGAATTCAAAAAACGATCCATCCGTCTCTTGCAAACCATATGAAAGCACTCAGTTCGGGCATTTTTTCAAATGGACTACGAAAAAAAGGTCTTACTTTGATAAGTCCCAAAACAAAAAAAGAGTGTCACTAAGACCATCAAGCAAAAGTATGGTTATCGAATTTGAAAGATCAATCATAAAGTTCTTAAAGCATAAAGCAAGATCTCTGCATCAGTATAATCAGATTTCCAAGAACAAGGTAAGTTTGAAGCCGAATCAAGTCATGATCCACGCGAACTTCAGTGAGAACTATTCCTTGAAACACGCTGAGGAGACGCAGCCATTCCAATTTGGCGGTTCGCGTCAACAGATTTGCCTCCATACTGTAATTATTTATTTCGTGTCTAATGGCATTGTTCAATCAAAGTCATTTTGCACTCTTTTTCAAAATCTAAAGCATGACGTATCAGCAATTTGGGCACACCCTCAACCGATCCTGTCTTACATTTTGGAAGTTCATGTTGCAGATACACTTATTTTTGTCAGCGATAGTCCTGCCACGCAGTATCGGAATAAGACTATGTTTTATTTTCTAGCTACCAAACTCCACCATTTATATCCAAAAATCAATGAGTGTTCTTGGAACTATTGGGAGTCTGGACACGGCAAGGGTGCTCCCGATGGTATTGGTGGAGTCACAAAGCGAACCGCTGATAGGCTTGTGGCGGAAGGAAAAGATATCTGTTCATATGGAATCCTTTTAAATAGAATAATATCAAAAACATAACCTACTTTCCAGTTGATGATGCAGATATAAATAAACTCAACAATTTAATCGAGAAGGACAGCATAAAGCCTTTTGTCGGCACAATGTAGGTGCATCAAGTCAAAGTTGAAGATCACAAAACGCGACTGTTAAGATTTTTCAGATTGAGCTCATTTGGTGTTCAGACTGATTTTTCCTTTTGTGGAACGTTAGATTACTTTGAGGAAGACAATGAGCATACTCAAATAGAGCCAGAAATGAGCAGCGACTCTGACGATGACTTACCCTCAAGCAACCTTATTTGTCCGAAAACAAAGTTGCAAAGGATTCATTACGAGGACGTGCACAAGCTCTAGAATAAGTCAACAAGACTTATTGCCAAGTAACATTATAAAAGGGATTGATGAACTTGAGGAGTATAAAACAAAACTAACAAGTTACCGTTATGCTGCTGTTGTTCAAAACATACTTGATGATGACGAAGTTTCTGTGATGTTTTTGAAAGTGTGCAAGTTCCAGAATATGCAAGCATTCAGGGCTAACGATAATGACAAGTCTTTTGTGGGTTATAATCAGATACTTGCAATTCTACCACCACCGTATATTTTCGTCAAAGGAATTAAAACATATTATAAATTCCATGATGATGTGGACGTTTTCGAAAAAGTTTAAGCGTATTTCAGTTAATACTATATGTAGGGATTTTTAAGTTTCAGCTATAATTTAGGATAAGCAATCAATGACCTAGTTGGTTTGTATTGTTCTTGTGTTTACATGTCATTCCTCTGACTTGGAGTCACTTTTGTAAATTAGGATTATTATTTTATATGTTTAACTCTTAGTTCTCGAATTCTATCTAAAAGATTGTTAATTTAATATTGTTATTATTAAATATTCTTTCACGTATCATTCCTCTGTCGCTGGACATCATTCCTCTGCAAACAGTATTCTAAATATTGTGCCCTAAATTTAGAAAATGAAAAAATTATATGTGTTTCTTTGTGCAGATTAGTGTTTCATTCAATATTAAAACTAAATACATAAGTCAGGGAACTTTCCGTCAAATCATAATTTTTTCCCAATAAAACCTTCAAATGATACTAGTTATGAAGAATCACCCATAAATATACGTATAATATTGAAAACTTTAAATGGTAGCCAAACATAAGCATAATATTCGTCTATATTCCAACCTGCATCAATCCACACCAAGTTATCTTTTAGACCGTTCCTCATTTGGAGCCGTTGCAATCAAAAGTATTTTGCGACTATTATTATTACGGAATTGTTAGCGGTATCGAAACCACTTGAATCGGTGTCAGAATTATCAGAATCAGAATTTAAATATCTGTAATTGATTCCTTCGGGATAATCGGAATCGACTCCTGTGGTATCTTTCTTTTGCTCAGTGCCGACCCAGCTCTACGTGGTAGAAAGCTATGTTTAACATCACTCTAGATATGTGCTTTGGTTTACAATATGCATAAAAAACTTAAATATAACTGGACGTATCTGTTACAGTTCTCAACACGTACTACGCACTTGAATGTTCAGTCACTATTCACAAAATGATGTTTAACAGCAGTATTGATATTCTTGCTGTATCATAAACTTGGCTATCTAGTGATCTGCCAGATTAATGAGTAGCAATTGATGTTCATTTAATTTTTAGGCGTAATCGTCCGTCTCACGGGGGAGGGGTTGCATTCTACGTGAAAAATGATTTGAGATGTACATTCTTAGACATAAATATTGGCATGTTACAAACTCATTGTTATGAAAGTTTGTTTATCTCGGTTGTCATTAATAGTTTTAAACTTTCTGTTGGAGTCTATTATCGTCCTCCTAACAAGGATCTGGTTGCTTGCATTCAAAATTTGGATCAAACTTTGCCGCGGTTGCAACTTGACTTTGATCATATAATAGTATTAAGAGATTTCAATATTGATATATTGACTCACACTGAAAACAATCTATTAAAGTGTTTCAACTCATATGGATGTTGTCAAGGAGTCACTGAACCAACAAGGATATCTCAAAATACAGCAACTCTTTTAGATCTAATCTTTGTATTAAATGAAAAGATAGTTAAAAATACATGTACGTTAAGAGCAGATGCTGTTAGTGATCACAGACTTGTATTGTGTAAATTGTCTCTGTATCGAGAAAAGTCTCGTCAAAAGTTTGTTACATGCCGTGATTATAAAAACTTAGATCATGATCTGTCCATGATGGACTTACGCTCCATTCCTTGGCGTCACATCTATACTGTAAAAAGTATCGATGAAAAAGTAAGATTATTGACTGACTATGTTACACTACTGTTCGACATTCATACTCCTAAAATTACCGTCAGAGTTAGCAGGCCGCCAGCTCCCTTACAGATAATTTTAAACTGATTTTCAAGGACAGAGACAGGTCATTACACACTTACAAGTTGAATAGAACCGAAAAAGATCTTAGGCACTACAAAGAGATGAGGAACTCTGCAGTGATCGCAATGAGAATAGAAAAATGTGCATATCTTAACTATTTGCATTATCAGAGAAATAATGGGCAATTTTGGAAAACTCAGTTCCGCCATCCTTAAGCGATCTTAATGAAATAAACATGTCCTTCATGTCTGCATATACTGAAAAAAATGAATCTAGTGCTCTTATCATCAAATATTACTCCAGCAAAATGAGTGATTCCAGGTTCACATTCAGCTTTGTTGACCAAAGTGTTGTACTGGAGCATATATCGAAGATAAGATCAAATGCATGTGGTCCTGACGGCATAACCTTGTGTATGCTCAAGCTTTGTATATCAGAGTTATTAAATCCATTGACATACATTATAAACTGTTGCTTAGAGAAATGATACTTTGCTCGACTTTGGAGAGAGGCTGTAGTATGCTCATTTGAGACCTATTAGTTTACTATGCATTCCATCCAAACTTTTAGAAAAAATAGTTAATGTACAGCTAAACCAGTATTCAATAGATTCTCCCTAAGCACCAGTCGTGTTTTAGGGGAGGGTACAACCACTGCTCTTTTAAATCCTAATGATGAAGTTATACGGTCGCTAGATAAGAGGCCTGCCACTCAACTTATATCCTTGGATCTTTCAAAAGCCTTTGACACCATTGACCATTCACTTATGTGCGCAAAACTGTGTCGTTATGGCCTTGACCATACAGCGTTGAACTTATTTTGCAATTACTTAAGTCTTCGTAGGCAAAGCGTTATTCTACATAACAAAAGATCTGAGATAACAACAATAACATCAGGAGTTCCTCAAGGTTCTGTTTTAGGACCGTTGTTATTCATTATATACACAGCTGATATCTTGAAATCCGTACAGTACTCACACATTCAACCTTATGCACATAGTGTTATAGGTTTAAAATATTAACAATGAATATTTTGATGATATATATAGTAGAAAACACCAACTTTATCACTCCCTAATCAAATTTGCAGCATAAAAATAACACATGTTGCAATTACAGCATATCAACCTATTTTCATTTCAATGCAAAATAAGTCTATAACGCATAGGTGGCTGTGAAAAATAAAAACCATGAAAATTGTTTTTATTAATCATAGCTGTCAGAATACGTTTAAAATAGTTTTGGGAAAGGTTATTAGTAAGAAAATTCGGTTACTGATAATTGAATTTTTTAATTCTGGGAAATCAAACTCTGAAATTGCAACTTTGTTAGACTTATCGCGGTACAGTGTAAGAAATATTGTTGGAAGATATAGCGTAACTGATTCAGTTAATACTAAGCCAAGATATGTGAAAAAAAGTAAAATCACAAATGCCGACCGAAGAGCATTAAGAAGAATAATCGTGAAAAACAGGCGTGATAAGTATTTACAATTAAGTGCTCTGTGGAGTGACGCTGTTGGAAGGATGATTTCGAGGTCCACAACTCATAGAGAGGTCCACAAACTGGGATTTAGCACTTGCAAGGTAAGTTTTCTTATAAAAAAAGTGAAGTAAAAACCCTAAAGCTGCACAACTTGTTTATAGGCCAAAGAAAAGCCACTATTAACTCCACTGCAAAAGAAAAATCGGCTTAGATAGGCTAAAGAACATAGACAATGGACACCTCAACAATGGTGTGCAATACAATGGAGTGATGAGGCCCGATTCGAAGTTTGTGTTGGTGACAGTCGTAGTAGAGTTATTCGCAAAAAAACGCATTCCATGTTGACTGTCTGAAGAGAAAAGTGAAATTTCCAGCATCCATTATGGTCTGGGGCAGTATGTCATCAAAAGGAGTAGGAAAACTTCATTTTATTGATGGAAATGTGGATACAAACAAATATTTGGCAATTTTAGAAGAATCGCTTTTACCAGTGATGGAAGAATGTTTGACATCCGACCAAGATTTTGTGTTTCAGCAAGATGGTGCAGCGTGCCATACCTCAAAAAAAGTTACAAAATGGTTTTAAGAAAATAAGATGGGTTTCTAGCAGTCCAGATCTGTCACCTATTGAAACTTTGTGGCACGAGATGAAAAAGGTTCTACGACAACATCCTGCTCGTACAATCACCGAACTGAGACAAAAGCTTCAAGAAATATGGGATTGTTTTAAACCAAATGTTTGCCAAAACTTGGTTAACACTATGCCCCAAAGAATTTCAGCCGTAATAAAAAAATAAAGGTGATGTTACCCAATGGTAATCTTTCAGTTGTTGCTTTGTTAACTTCGCGCATTTATTCGCACATTGTTTATTTGTTCAGATGTTCTATTAGTTATAGGTCTAAGTGATTTCAAATATGTATTTTTTACGACTAGAGTGTATCTAAAATGTTTTTGAGAAAATAAATTGTTTTAGAAGTAAATAGTTTCGTCATGTTTAGTTTATAAAGGCATATTTTGGCACAAATCTTGAAGTGGGCCAACTGAAGTGGAAAGGGGCTCGTATTTAGTAGAAAAGCTAGTCCCTAGGTCAAGTATACATAATGTCAATATAAGACATCAAAACCATTTTACAATGCCCATGTATTAAACATCACACTTTTATAGATCTTTCACGTATAATGCAGTGTATCTCTTTAACATCTATAGCAGGAATATTGATATATCAAATACTAATAACATCCATTTCAAACTGCATCTCAGACAACATCTTCTAGGAATTCAGCATAGGATCAATGACCAAATGTCCTGTGATCAATTACCATTATGTTCTTTTAGTTAGATTCTTCGACATACTATCGTTTACTGTATACGTAAAATACCATAATTGTATGTCAAATTAGCTTTAGCTTTAGTCTTTAGAAAGGTTGAGTATGCTAAACTCCGCCAATAAAGCCGTTTATTATTATTATTATTATTATTATTATTATTATTATTATTTTTTTTTTATTATGCTCATAGTCCTCACGTATGGTGGTGTACTATCTTTGAGGGGGAGTTCACCCCAACCAAGGATAGTTTTTACAGAGACAGTGCCTTTCTCACAATATGACACGTTTGTAAGATAACGGCTTTTTGGAATAGTATGTGAAGGCCGTTTGGAAGGTCCAAGGTCTTTAAGCTTGAGGAGACTTGTTTGGTAACAGCCCCTTCCACGGAGATAACAATGGGTACAATCTGCACTTCCCTTAGCTTCCAAATCCTCTTCATTTCAATCGCCAGGTTCTGGTATTTAACAGATTTTTCACGCTCTAC